TATAGCAGAAGAGGGGGGGGAGGGGGCTTCATTTTGATTCATTTCCTTACTACTCCATGGATATAGATTTCGTTGTCATTTGTATATCGATCGTTCCTTTGTTTCCTTTCCTTTGTCTCCATCTTTATCTTCAGTGAGGCGGGGTTGGGGCCGTGTTTTCGCTTTTTTCCTTTTGGGTTGTCTGCCTGGATGGTTTCTCGATAGAAGAGCGCAAGTCGTGAAATATAATATTTCGGATACCACAAGAAACAAATTCGAAACTCTCATGCTTCCTATCGCCATCATATATATATCTAACGCTGGGCCAAGTGTGGGACCCAGCTAGTTGACCCACTAAAGAAGATGATAAAACGCGCGATATTTGTGTGAAAACGTACACATTATTAACATTCCAACCTTGTATGTAATAATTGATCATGTGTACCTCGCGGATCCTACTTGTAGCTGCGTAGTATTTCTTTAATCGGGGAAACGACTTTTATCCCCGTAAAATCCGATTGGATAGCATTGTCTAGCTCAAGATTATTCTTTCTCCAAGAACGTGTTTTGTACATATCATCAAAGCTTTTTAGAAACACCAAAGGAATTATATATGTAAATATTAATTTAAAGCCTTATCAGGGGTTACCTTCGGGTCCGCCCAGTATTCCTATGACAGAAACTCAGGTACTGAAGCTCAAATACGTGTATTATCCCTTTAATTAGGCCGGCAGCTTAGTTCGTAACCTGATCCGTTTAACTGCTTTGGGTATATACAGCCACTCTGCAAAAGTGCTCGTGATTCCGATTTCAGAGTGAGACATTTCTCCATATGTAACCGCGGCGGACCATCAAGAACACCCCAAGAGAAGACTCTCCCAGTGACCAATGGCGCCCAAATTAATGAAGAATAAGATCAATGACCTATCTACTTTTTATATATAGTCACGAACTATATTATATATTTTTCGTTGTTTTGAATCTCAACTTTAATAGCATCAGTATTACGGGTGCGCCACACATTAAAACTACATCACGAACACTTTTAATGAGTGGCTATATGTATGCTACAAATTGATGTAAAAAAGGCCAGTAGCACGGCCCAACGACGGTTAACATTGATTTCGAACTTTCGCAACTACTCGTAGTTTTTTTGGCGTTTCTGGACTGGACTCGGTCTGCATAGCACCAAAATATGGTTGTCAAGCACGATTTACGCCCATATGCAGACCCAGTCCAGTCCGGAAAAACTGCGAGTACAATCACATTAGATATTACAAGCGGAGTGCGGCCTTCGGCCGCCCAAATGTAGTGAGGAAATGGAGGTGCGGGCGGTACTGGGATAGTAATTTCTTAGATTATTGCTGTCATTCTGGATTATTGGGTCATTCTGGATTATTGGGTCATTCAAAGGTACAGGCACGCACTAAACCTCATCTCCACCTCTCCTTTATGTAATCTGTGATATATTAGCTCTAGTATGCACTCTAAGTCATTCAATGAGTAGCGTTAGTGTGTAGATGTAGTTCATGATAAAATTAAAATGGTATCAGGGAAATTCGACCTTCATATATAAAAATATAGCTGTGGTTCTGACACTAGTGTTTGTTCTTTTATATCCATCAATTGAAATAGCTACACGCCTTTTAATGCTAGTTCCCTTCCATCTCGGGAGTAGTTCTTTGTCGAATCAATATTAGAAATACATGTAGTGCGTTGCAACCAATAGGAGACGTTCCTGGTGACGATGAGGAAGACTATATAGTTTAGATAACGGGTTTCTAAGATAGCGGGCTCTGCCGCTATGAAATGCTCCAGTGCCCCGAATGTCGGAGACAGAGTGGGTCGCAGGTGGAATGGTCCAAAATCAATCGCTTATCTAAGTTTAGTTTGCTATGAAATCAATTATTTAGCCAAATCTATCACAGCCGGGGAGCGTTTTCCGGCGTAGTCTCTGGCGGTCATTCCTTGGCACATATGAATCTTGAAGTCAGTCCCTTTTACAGGGTCAACTTAGCTAGAGAGGAGAGCGAAGGGGATCCCAGAGGTCGGGAGGAGGGGGTGCCGAAGGCACCCCGGTATCGCGTACCCCATGATATGTAGGTATTGAGGGAAAGATTAATACATATAGATCGATAATCCATATACAGCGAGAGGTAAAATTATTGTAGAAATAGGGGTCTAAAATGGGGTTTCTATGGCTGGGCAAGCCAATAGGACTCATTATAATCTAAGTAGTCGCATTATATTAAGGTAGACTAAGGCAGAAACAATCGGGGCCTAGCCACTGCAACCAGCTGACGCCGGAACTTCCTCTTTATTTTACCCCACCTGGTAGGCGGATCCGTTACGAGCTGAGCTGACGGCCTAAGGGATAGGAGGTACACGGTAGTTCGACATATGTACATGTACTTATATATACTGGGCTTAATTATCTAGAGTCGCTTATAATTTCATGAAATAGTAATATTCTTGTTTCCTATTACTCGCATGAGGGGTTTGATATTACACTATAGAGCCCTTCTCGGAAAATACTATCTGTGCCCCACCTTATAACGCGGTCGAACCTTAAGCTTTTCAAGATCTCCATCTCCATGGACGTTGTGGCTATGTATGTATGTAGGTACTTAATGTATTCTTGTGTTCTAACCCGTCTCGATAAACCAACCGAATTAGAAGGCTATCCAGACTAATGTAGACTACATAATACATAATCTCAGCTATGCTGTTACTTTGCTTGGACCCACGTCAAGAGTCGCTCCCGGTGCCAAGGCCGGAACAAGGTCAGGTGATGTGGGTTAGGGTTTGGCCCCGAGTAAACAGCATCTCAGACCGGAACAGAGATAACTAACCATATTATGTACCTAGCCATAACCCGGGCCGAGTTCTCGTTGGATGGCTTCAGAAAGGTGCCTCGTTGATTCTTGGCGAGAATATCCGAAACGTAGTATTGTTTACATATACAGTCGTCTCTGGGTCAACGACGAAACCGGCTCAATGACGAATAACTACTTTTTGGGCTGATAGTCAGTCAAAGCAAAGGGGTCGGAGCGCTTCTGTTGGCTTTTGTTGGCTTCGATTGGCCTATTCGCCATCGGACCGGTTTCGTCGTTGACCCAGAGACGACTGTAGTTCAGTTAGCTATAGTCATACTATCTACGTACATATATACAAACAGACTCGATACAACCACATCTGAGCCTCCCTAAGCCATCCTAAGACTCTTAGTGTATCTCAACCCCTCTCTCAAGACTCTTGGTATATAGTCAGCTTCTTTAGTCGACCAAGATCGGGGTAAACTGTTAGTAAATATGTTTTCTAGCATTGGCGATAGTTTCATAAGTACTACTAGGTACAAGTTGGTACCGGATCTTCCGGTTCATCCGTGATTCTGTACTTGGTATTTGTCAATTGACTCGGGCCCATCATCTAAGCCCATATCCACACAGGCCAAGAGACAATAGTCAATCCTTAGCATGTTTTAGAATTCCAAATATGGCCTTCAACTCAGATTCAGTCTTTGTTCTATGTCCATACATAGTGATATATCCATCTCTGGGGTTCTGCACTGATGATATACCTGTTGTTGTTTCTGTAACTCGGCTAAGCCGGAGTTAAGCGTCTGTTTTTGCGATCGATCAGTAACTACTTGTATCTAGTGCACAAAGAGATAAGCAGAGTTTCAACGGTGGTAGCTGAAGCCGGAAGCACCGGATTGATTCTGCTCGAATTATATATGGAATTGTGGACACAGGATCGGAGGCTTTTATCTCAAACTGGAGATTCTGCCACAGAGAGCCACAGTAGCCACAGATGCTGGATGCTGGTGAAGGGATCAGTTGACCCCGCGGAACATTCTACAACGTTAAACTTTGCAGTGGACGTTACCCCTAAGTTGAATTGCATCTAACTCGGTTCCGAGAAACATAACCGCACCCCGATCGGCCTAGTTTAAACTACCGCTGTGTTTGGGAAAATTCGTTGCGCTGCAGCAGGGGTCTTCTCTACCAAATCTTGCATATTGACGTCCAAATACTGCCCCTGGTTGGCTCATACCCCTGCTGCAGTGCAACGAATTTTCTCAAATACAGCGGTATATGCAACCCTTAACGCCTGATCGTGGTTACACCTGGCCTGATCTAGCCGAGTTTGTTTCTGTTTATCGGTTAGTATGTCTCATTCTCTAACTGCCGCAATCATAGGTGTTGCACTTTCAATTCGCCGGTGAGTTTAGTTTCAACTCAACGTGTTTTCTCAACCTTTTACCTGAGCTACGCACAGCCAAGGCTTAGCATGTTATTTATCGCCGTTATATGTATCCGCATAATGTGCAAGAAGCCGTTTGAGGCGCTGACGAGAGCTCACCGACTCGAAGAGCCCCGGTTCACTCCCGCGGGTGTCCTTCGTGATTAGAGGCTTTTGACCTTTGTACTATGCCCATAAGATGCTTATTAAAGTAATTTATGTCATGAAGCATTTGTCAAAGATGATACACTAGGCCTATTGGTGAACATTGGACGCAGTGACTCTTGATAACTTAATAAAGTTGTGTATCAGCATTGAACCCCGATTATTGTATCCCGAGTTATCTCAAAGTTGGAACTACAACAACTATCTCTAGATACAGATTAGAACCCTGTCCTTCTGGGTAGTCCCCACTTTGGCTTGCGTGAACCTGAAGTTTTGGGAGTAAGACGTGAAGTCATATCGCCTCATGACCGTTAGTCTTTGTGTACTCCGACGCCCGATATTCCTTAGGGCCGGTATCGATGTAACTCTATTATCCAACTATCGAATGTATAAACATCTAGCTTAATTAACCCGAGTATGCTGATGTTTGCAGAACACAAACACAGTAAGTCCACCAAGGCTACTTACATACTAGTTTATTGAAACTCGAGAACACTTCGAAGATATTTGATATAAATCCAAGTTCAGAGCCCTCAATTCCTGCCACAGACACAAACTCGACATCCCTCATATCTCTAAGAGCTTCGACAGGCTTATAGACTCTATACAAAATGCAGATCGTCATAGTTGGCGCGGCATGTGCAGTCCTATTTTTTGCATATCGGGCATATCAAACCTACCTCTCCATTCAAAATGAACAATCTTTGAAATCTTCAAAAACATGCGGCACAGTTCTACCGGGACCAACACGTTAGTAGCAATGAATCCCTTCACTTGGAATAAAACTAACCATTCACCCTATAGCTGCCCCAATTATTGGGAATATCCTCCAAATTCCAAAAACCCACACATGGATTCACTTCAAACAATGGGCAGACATCTACGGACCAATCTACAGGTTTCAGGTCGGCTCCAAGAATAACATTGTGGTTTCTACTGAGAAGATTGCAAACGATCTTCTCCGGGGACGAGGAAATATCTACTCGTCTAGAGAGTTCTTGTACTTTGCGACGGAGCTCCTCTCCAAGAACCTCCGACCACTTCTACTTCCATACAATGGTACTAATTCAATCCAACCCTTCCTTGCCTGTCTCTATCACTTACTAATTCTTTCTAGATACCTGGAGGCGAGGACGCAAGCTTATGCACACTCTCGGTATGCCAAAGGTTGTAGACACCTTCCGTCCCGCCCAATCCCTCGAAGCAAAAAAGCTCCTTCACGACATGCTGGAAGACCCCGAGAGCTACGAGAACCACTTTGAGCGATACGCAGCTGGCATCATTTTCCGCCTTGTATTCGGAAAGGCAGTCGAGACTGGCCGTGAGCCCTACGTTCGTGAAATCTACAATATCGTGCACACCGTCGAACGCGTCGCTGCCCCTGGTGCCTACCTCTGTGACTCCATCCCATTACTTCGATACATCCCCGAGTTCCTATCACCCTTCAAGAGGGAGGCTAAATGGCTACACAACCGTGAAATTAAGATGTTCCGCGAACTGCAGAACGATATCCGTGTTGGCATCAAAAACGGAAGCGCACCAGAGTGTCTGACCAGAACCTTCCTCGAGAATGAAGGAGAGTTTGGCATGACCTCCGACGAATCTGCTTATGTCATTGGTACCTTCTTTGAGGCTGGTAGTGGTACCACTGCTGGAGCTATGCTTACCTTCTGCCTGGCGATGTGCCTCCATCCACATGTGCAAACAAGAGGTCAGGCTGAAGTAGACGCTGTCTGCGGTGACCGGATGCCCGACTTTGAGGATTTGCCAAATTTGCCCTATGCACGAGCTGTAATGAAGGAGATTCTTAGATGGCGCCCGGTTCTTGCTGGAGGTTTGTTGACCCTTGTTGTACATGAATTTTTTACTTACAAATTGTGTTTCAGGTATGCCGCACGAGTTGACCAAGGACGATGAATATGAGGGTTACAAATTCTCTAAGGGAACCGTTGTCCACGCTAACCTCTGGTAAGTAGATCGAATGCCCCTATGGACTCTTGATAATCCTATGTACTCACGTCATAACAGGGCAATCCACCGCAACCCCGAGCAGTATCCCGACCCCGAGACCTTCAACCCAGACCGCTGGGTCAATCCCGCCTACCCCACCTACAAGGAGCCTCTCAGCGTGTACCCCAACCTCCAGAACTTCTCCGCGTTTGGTTTCGGCCGTCGTATCTGTCCTGGAATGAACATCGCCGAACGATCTCTCTACTTATTGACGATCCGGCTGCTGTGGGGCTTCCAGATGAACAAGAAGAGGGACGCGAGCGGTAACGAGATTGACATTCCCTACTACGACTATGATTCGGGATTGAGCTCTAGGGCAAAGCCGTTCCAGTTTGATTGTGTGGCGAGGAGCCCAATGAGGGCGTCGGTTATCCGGAAGAGCTGGGATGAGGCAAAGGCTACTGATCCGTTGAGGAGTCGAAACTAGGTTGGAGGTATTATTGAGAAGTTTGAGAGATTCTTCGGAAACGAGAATAAGGATATTTGATGTGGTTTTTTTGGGGGGGGCTTTTTACATGGTAAACAGCGTTCATTTGTAATTTCTTTTGTCTTTGGCTGGTGTTGGGGGGGGGGGGGTAGCTCGCAAATGTTAGGGAATATAGATTTAAAAATTACAATTCTAGTAACACTTGATCGAAACAGTGGTAGTATTTGGGCTAGATTTGATCTATCTACATGTAATAACATTCCTGGATCAATGATTGGAATGCTATCATAGTAAGAAACAGGTGTCTGATTCGCTGGGTAGCGAAAAGTACATGTACATATAAGTAATCAGTCCCGACCCGGATACCAAAAATACACTTTGCAAGACCGCGAATCGAGAAAAGTACTCAAATATCGTTTTCTCACTTTGGTATTCATCGTAAACACATATAAAGCACCGATATCGATACATGTATCTGCATAGTATAACGGCCGCTCCACGACCATTGAGTGGTATCTCCCAGCACAAAAGATATATTGTAGCAAGATTCTCTTCACACATCGCCTGTGTAGTCAGCTTGCAGTGCTGATCATGATAGGCCAGAAAAACGTTCTTTTCGACCCATTTCCTGAGCAATATAGACCCTGGCATATATTACCCTAACCCTGATCCAGCAAGTTAAACCTAACCCTATCTAATCCAACTCGTGAAAAAGTACATGTAGACACCGCATTTCTAATATTTGGCCGAACAAAGACCAGTCCCTTTACTTCAGAGACCCGAGCCTACTACGGACCGCAGCATCCAGGTATCGCTTCTGCTACTCTATTGCAGGTTCTAGGAGGCATCGCTGGTAAAAGTACAATTTCGCACGGAATTTGCAGAGCTGAAAACTCTTAATGATAACCATAAAAAACACTACGTAGTAAGCAGTGGCATCTCATTCCCACTTATCTCGAGCCATATCACCCAAGGCACAGCGTTAGGTTAGAGTTATTGCACGGTTAGGGCTTGTCAATCCACATTCCGATTCAGCCCAAAACAGCGGATCGACCCGGCCGCGCACAGTTTGTTGCCTTAGGCGCCTAACGAATCTCACCACGGAGGCATGCTAGCCGAGTCATCCTTAATATCTACTGGCTGGGCCTACGAACATGAGCTCTGGCCGGACATATGGCTGCCAAGCCATCTTGCCTTGCATTAAGTTATACCTGCTGGCCCCAACACCATGGGCACGGACACGGTCATGGACAGTGCGCGGCAATGACATGTTACCGTCAGCGTAGATTTTGGGTCCACGTGTAGTGGTGTGGGTACTGATAGTTGAATATCGAATGTATCTTTTATATGGGCTCGGGAATCTTCACACTTCACACACATGCACGGCACACCATATGCTAGGAGTGTTGGCCAGGCCATTTTTTTTTTTTTTACCTTTGTTTGGAGGGCCAATTTATTGTCAGAAGATGCCTGATCATGAGGGCTGAAAACATGCATACATATAACATGTTTGAACAGCTCACGAGCTAGAGAGCTAGGCCCACGCAGCAGGGTCAGTAGGTCAACAGTATTAAATTTGTTTCCGCAACATGCAGACAGGCAGCAACTCAACGAGAGATAAAGGTCGAATTTTTGCGTTGTGAGTAGGGTCAGTAGGTCAATTAAGTGTTTCACCAGTTGTGAAGTTGCCTAAAATTTCAAACTACACTGACATGACGCATCATGGCGTGGATCTGGTAGCACAGTCAAATCTTTATTTGAACAGCCATGCATTCGATGAAGCTCAAAGAAAATTAGTGAGGGCTCAGAACTGATTGATTGATTTTCGGCTGTTTGTTCCATCAATAGGAGGCTGCATAATTTATGGGGCGGTAGTGACCTTGTGGGGCTTTCTTGCGTTGCCACAAGTGTACTAGTAGAGTGGGGCGTGGCGCCGAGACATATAGTTTAATTTTTAAGCCATGCATGGCGAACCCTAAGTTACCTCTCCCCCCAACATGTGGAATGGCAACAGTTACTCTGGGCTACAATTCAAGGACAAACAACGTGACTGGTTCGGGCTTAGTTAGGATTGACAGGATGTTTGGCAAATGTATTTGCCTATTGAAAGTTATCAGGCTGTTGGCGTTCGTGATTTCGTAGGTTGTGCCCAAATGCTTGATTGCTATCCTAGTCGGAAAGACAGGTCTGTCTAACCTGGTTTCATCTTGGGTTGCCCCAGCAGCAATTTATTGAGCCCCATACTTAACTCTTGGAAATTCTAGTCTCGAAACCCATATAAAAATGCGTGATTAGGCTTTACCATTTTCTAAAGTATCAAACCTATACGCATCGAGTGCGGACTCTCTTGCTAAGGATTGTGGACAGTTGTGCATGTGGGCGACAAAGGATTACTGTGTAAATTAATTATAATTCAAATCATCTCCAATTAGCCCCTCATCAAATCGGCCTGTCAGACTTAGGCCGTTGTTAAAACTGACAGCCTGGCCCTGCTACATTACCCTGATACCGTTAGAGATCGATACACAGTAAATACAACACGGTGACGTATATCACCGCACGAGATATCAGGAAAAGCCAATCTATTAATCAAGAAAATTGTACCAACCTGGCGGTCCTATCACCTAGGGAAATCATCATATCACCGATTGATAGTAGAGCACTTTGCTTTGTTCACAAACATGCCAAAACCTCGAATTGATACCAGGTCTTGGTATAAATGTGAATTTGTATTCTCTCTAGCCTCTTGAGAATGTCTGAACGATTTAGTACTTTTACTAAAGGACCGAGGGTTATATTTATCTAGAGGAGCCCACTTCCCCAAATCTCCAAGTCTGATCCGGTCCAACTCTTTTTTTTTTTTTTTTTATTCATTAATTAATTGTATTCAGACCGTAGTCTATGAAAATACATATCGCACTACCCCAGAACTTCCCAATGACTTCCCCCACCTCTCACACAGTATTGACAATGAAAACAAAGAAACAGCAGCTTATGAAAACATGAAAATTAGTAACATGTTGGGTCGGACTCTTTTACCAAGCAGATGAGATATGTATAAACACACGAAAAACCACAAACTTTGAAAACGCTCATTACAAGGATTTCTTCCACTCGTGTAGATGAGACGTAAAACAATACTAGTTAGACGCAACGAAAAATATTGACAAGGAGTGTTCAGGTCCACACCTAGGCAGATTACCACAACCTAACCCACATACCAATATGTCTCCGGAAGACTTATCCCATAGTTCGTTAAAGCTGCCTATTGATTCGGGCGGCGTATTTCAGCTGTGGCTTGTGTCTGGATCACACACCTATTCGGCTGCCACCCTTCCTTTTTTAGTAATTATAATGTTCTGTCAAAATAGACAGCATCTAAGCACCGGATTATGGGATACCTGGTGCTCCGGGAGGGGGCCGAGACAGAGACGGGCACATTGTTTTGGCAAGATAAAACCCACCCCTCACGCCAAGACACAGTCTTCGCCCACGTCCCCCCTCCGGGAGGACTCGGTTTAAGAGTTCCGGAACCATGCCACCCAGTTTACAACTCACACCTGTAGTTTGGCCCATGTAGTTGTGGAAACACTTCAGCGCAGTAGTTTTTGGGATCTGAGGTCGGTTCGGTAACGCTGGCTGCAATTAGTGATATCCCGTTCTCTCTTGCGAGCTACCGTGGTTCTGGGATTTACGTATTCACCGCATAATAATCTGGAATATCAACTCCTAACGTCACGCCCCGATGGGACAAAACAGAGCCCATAATAGTAGATTCTACGGCAAGCCCAGCAAACCACTGCACAGTAGCGACCAACACACTACCAAACAAAGACCCTTCATTTATTCATCTAGGCCCGAACCCGCACGCCACCTAGGCTGTATACATCCGCCATCAAGTCGCCAACCGCCCTAAAGTCCCATTCTCACGCCAAAGAGCACCCCTCTTCAAAGCCCCACACTAGCCAAGGACCTCACAAATATACTTACATCACAATTTCCATCACAGCCCATCACTCGCTCTGCGCCACTGCGCCATACCCACCACCGCCACTAGTACTATCCCCAGCGGCACCCGCCAACGGCGCATTCTCTGCACAAAGACCCACTCGTTAATAAAAGCGCCATCATTTTAAAAACTGCAAAACAACAAAGCGCACAAAAAGACACAACGATTAAATCGCTACAAAGACTTTTTCAACGGCACTGGTGTCATACTCTTCCTCGAGACGCGCGGAAACATGACGCAGTACCCGTCCTCCGAATACTCCCACTCGTCCTGGAGCCCGTTCATCTGTACATGGAGATACTCCACAAACACCAGGAAGCAGTACACGCCCGTTCCCGTCAGTAGATGCCACCTGCGCCACACGCACTCACATTAGCCACTCTCCTCAATCCCCCACAGGAAGGGCAGCCCGTAGAAGAAAGACAACCCACCACCCATGCAGCTCCAACACAAACCCCACGGGCATGCCCGTCCACTCCCTCATCCCCGTCAACCACCCACACGCCCCATCATCTACCAGCCACAGCGCAAACCCCGCCACAAACGTGGTCGCGCCCACCGTCGCCAGCTTCTTCATATTCCGCAGGGCAACCTCGTCCTCGACCTGCGTGCGCATGAGGAACACGGTGCGGAAGAAGACGCACGCAATCTGGCAGCCAAAGACGACGCGCTGCGGCGTGCTGTCGCCGAGCAGGTAGTGCGCGACCGTGAGCAGGGTAAGCGTGAGGACCAGGGCGCCGGCGAGGATGCGGCGCGAGGTGGGCGCGAGCTGGAAGGACCAGATGGTGTAGAGGACCATGGAGGTTGAGTAGAGCATTGAGAGCTCGTCCACTACATGTCTATGTCAGCTGCTGGAAAGATATTGGGGGGGGGAGAGCGACCCATCTGCATCGTGTACTTGAGCGTGGCATGGAAGAGGACAGAGCCAATGCCGACGCCGGCGTAGATGGCGTATGTCAGCACAAAGAGCGAGTCCTTGTCCTCCTTCAGCGCCTTGACGAGCCCATATGCCGCCAGATATACTACAACACGACGCCGCACGAATAATCAACCAACCACAAATATGTCATATCACCAGGCGTGTATGTGTGTTTATGTGAGTGTATATGTGCGTGTGTGTTTGCCTACCGTATAGCACGTTTGTGAGCGTGTTGATGAACTCTGCAATGTAGGGCGTGATGTAGTAGTCCTAGGCGGGTGTTTAGCAGAGGAGCTGTGGTGGTGGTGGGGCAGGGTTAGGGTTGTTTACCATCTCGCAGAAGCTGTGGTGTATGTAAGCAGGGTGCATGCAGTGTATAATATCTGATTACTACATACTACAGGGAAGGGAAGGGAATAATGGTATTGGACGCACTTTACGGTGGATGTCACTGGCCCCCAAGCAGACTCGTACTGGTGGCCGTATGGCCAGCTGAAGTGGCGCGTCATTGGGGCTGAGGTTGTTGCTAAGCGAGAGGAGAGCTGAGGGACACGATCTATGCTGGCGCTGTGTACTTGTGTGTATCTATAGTAATTCGGTGAGTGTGTACGAGAGAGAGAGAGAGAGAGAGAGGGAGAAGGAAGAAGGTTGCAGTTGCTGTTATCCTCGCCGGTTGTGCCCTCCGTTCCCTGTTTTTTTACGTGCGTGTGGGCCAATCACGGACTCTTATCGTCTGAGTCTACTATTTGGCCATTTGCTTTTTGGGAAGGCTACAGCTACAAGTATGGACAGTGAACCACCCTTCAATTCATTAACATTCATTGTATTTATTTACAGACAGCACCGTTTAAACTCCAATGCCACAAAGGGAACGGAAAAGGGAAAATAGAAAGACTCTACAAATGAAAGAGGCACAAAGTCCATGGCCATTCACTCCGCTCCACTCCCAGAATCCATCACCCAGCCACCACTATCACCACCACCTTAATTCTTCGCCCGCAGCACGAACCCTGTCTTCGCCACCCTCGCCGCCCCCAACAACACCCCTCCCGCAATCAGCACCACACCACAGAACGTCTGCGCCCACACATAGTCCCCGTCCACCGCTTCAATCAGCGCACCACAGATCGGCGGCCCCACCACACACCCAAAGCTCACAACCGTGAAGCTCATTCCGATCCTCGTCCCCGCCTTCGCTGGATCATCCGTCAGCGCGGCCACGGCCGCGGGGAACAGCGCCTGCACGCCGGCCGCAAAGACGCCGTAGACGAGGACAAACACGAGCATGCCCTTGTACGTCTCGACCGTCATCCACGTCACGATGATGATGCCCGTGCAGATGGTGACGGGCGCAAAGATGTTGAGGACGCCAAAGTAGCGGTCGGCGAGGAAGGTGGGCAGGAGACGCCCAATCAGGCCCACGGCGTTCATGATGATGAGGGAGTTGAAGGAGGTGGTGCTGTCGAGCCCGATGGAGAGCGCGTAGGAGCCCGCGTAGTAGAAGGCAAAGTAGATGCCGCAGAACATGAGGAAACTCGCTGCAGTCCTATCAGCATAATATCACATCATATCGTCAGAGAGTGTTGACATACCAATCAGAAAGAGGTTATACGACAGCTCCCTGAACGCACCCCACTCAATCAGCGGGCCCGTGATCCTCGGTGGGATCCTCGTCTTGTACAGCGCCGAGGCCATCAACAGCGTCGCCAGACACACAAACCCCATACACCTCATGGTCCACGGGAATCCAATACTCGGGATGAGATGCTGTGCCATGAGCGGGTATATAACACCGCCCGTGACGCTCCCCGTCGTCGCGAACCCGACGGCCACACCCCTCCACTGCCTGAAATACGTGCTCATGACCGACAGCCCCGCGCAGAACATCATCCCGTTGGCCAGCCCGCTGCACACGCCCTGGGCGAGGAAGAACTGCCAGTACTCGCTGCACAGCGACGTCATGAACATGCTGAGCACCTGCAGCGCCGCGCCGAGCGTGTACACCAGGCGGAAGTAGCCGGCGTCGGTGGCACGCCCGCCAAACACGCCGACAAAGAAGAGGAGGAACACCTGCATCGACCCGATCCAGCTGATGCTGGAGCGCGTCTCGTCGAGGATGGTGCCATAGTAGGTTTGGAAGACGCCGAAGGACTAGTGCATTGGTTTGTTAAGTCAGTATATATGTCATCATGGAGTGAGTGTGGGGGGAACGTACGGCAATGATTCCCCAGGAGTTCATGACAGTGAGATGGGTTGCGAGGACCACCATCCACGCTCGGAGACCACCATCTGGCGGTGGTGGAGGCTCCTTCTCGCGGTGGAAGATGAGCTCGTGCTGCGAGATTGCAGAGGCAGCAACACTGGTCTGCGAGGGGTTTTCGTTGTATCTATCCATCTATACCTCTTTTCAACCAGGCTCTAAAAAAAAACGAGGGAATATGATATATATAAAGTTTTTATATATATGACGACAGCAGCTGCTTAATGATAGGTGAAGCTAGGGCTGAAGAAATATCAAAGGTGGGAAGGGAAAACAGGAAAGAGGGAAGAAGAAAAGGGTTTGGGAAAAGGACGCCCCAATATCAGCTACTTAAGACTTTTCCACTTGGCCGAGTCAGTCAGTCAGTCAGTCAGGCAAGGAGACGTGAGAGGCCTTGAGTCAGTATTGGATGCTGTACTTGTTCTTCTGCTCTGGGAAAGTACATGGCGAAGTGCAGTTTAAATGGCAACACAGCTACAGCGCAGATAGGGCCATAGAAGAAATATCTCCAATTGCCTGGCGTCATAGCGGGCGCGCCATGCATTTTTTTTCCTTCTTTCGCTTTTCTGTCCTAAACCCGACGTCGTTCGCACGATAGCACCCCGGCACCTACATGTCCGACTGGAAAAAAACATGTGGAGCAAACATTGACATGCACCCACGCATTACCTTTTCCGTGCTAGCCGCATGCCTACCCGTTGGCCAGAGATCGAGAAACCCAACCCATCCAGCCCCCCCCATGCCCTCCTCCTCCTCCTCCTCCTCCCCCTCCTTCGATCAGCCGGTAGCTAGCTCTCCCGGGCACATGGTCAAGGATGCCACACGCGCGGGGGGGTTTTGATTATCAACCATAGACAACTAGATCCAGCCAGTCGGTTCTATCTAGAGTAGACTATAATCTAATATAGCTACATACAATATACTGTTTTTACTTTTACCCTCACTCAGGATCTCAGTAACACTCTCTCTCCGCGTGCACACACAGATATGGTGACTACAGTTATAATAATAAACTCCCTCTTCTCACTCTCCCCCGACCAATTGACTGTGTCGAGGCGTTCTCCCCTCTTCTCTCACTACAAACCTGATCGAAAGTAGTTCTTGGGGAGGAGGCTCGTCTCGCGTTACACAAGGGCAACGCCCAGGACACCGAGTAAACTACAGGCAGTAGCGGCAACGAGCCGTCCAATGCAAGCAGGTTAGTATGTGTTTGTGTAGGCAAGTATTTGTATTTTATAAGGGCGAGAAATGCACTTTTCAGGTACGCAGCACCGCTTTTAGAAACTCGCTAGATTAGGGTACATAGCAAGAGTCGAGTAGAGTCGAGCCCAGCTTAGCTGCATAAGTACATTGATATATTTCTGGCTCCTTTTTTTTATGCAGTAAGACGGCTGCTCTGCCATGCTCCCCCCCACTCACTCCCCCCATATGCAAAGAATAAACACCCCGAGGCTCGGTTGAGTGATCCCATCGTCGTTCGTCGTCGGGGTTTACTATTTTCACACCAGACTTTGCTTTAGGAGTTAGGAGGATTATTGAGCGTACCTGCGCCAGTTGACATTCCTGACATGACTAACAACCCCTACCCTGGGCCCGCCGCAAGCTGTGGCGTAGTTGGCTAGCTAGCGGGGCTGGGATTGTAGGCATGTCAAACTCAATCTCCGAGATGATTGGGCCCTATCCTGTCCTGTCCTGTCCTGTCCTGTCCTCCCTGCACCGTACCTGCGCAGAACCGTCCAAGCGCCGTCGTCGTCGTCGTCCTTCTCGTCCTAGTCCTAGTCCTAGTCGTCGGCCCGGACCCATCGTGGAGATATGCGATATGGCCGGCCGTCGAATGACAGCTCGTTTCAGAAACAAACTTGGACCTTGCTGAGCAATACCATCTCCCAAAACCGTGGCCGAAACACATCGCGGGGCCGTAAACGTCGAAAAAAGGCGAAAACGAAAACTCCATTTTTCGGCCGTACGTACACTAGCTGGCTGGTATTTTACAACCAGGGCCCCCGGGCCGGGGACTTGTTACCGTTAAGTATGGACATGAACATGAGAACCGATTAGATACGAGCTAGCCGCGTTGACAGTGGTTCTGCTTCGATCGAAAATAGAACGATATGATCCGCATGATATCATCGTATTTTTAAGGGTTCTATTCTCAGCAACCCCAGAAAGTGCAAGTGCGGTCTTGGCAAGCAACAAGCTACATACAAACGCCCACCGAGTGACATTCCATGAATCGCCATGTCGCAGGGTCCGTCTCCATGGGTGCGCACACTATCACGACCCAGCTATGTATCAACATGTATCTATAATCTACCATCACGCTCTACAGCACTCGTTTCTTCCCCCCCCCCTCCACACCCCATGAATTCCCAAAGCTGGCCTAGCGCCGTTTTGGATCCACCCGGGGGGGGGGGTGCAAGCAGGGCTTAGACTCTGAAACCGCAATTATCAGTCTAATCCCCCCCCCCCCTCCCACCACCACCACCACCACCTACATAACCTACCTCCTCTCCACCTCTCGTACGAGAGCACGGAGTTTGCGCTGCCCAACCCACGGATGAGTGAAAGCCGACCATTGTGTTGTGTGTCTCCAACGCAAGGCAAGAAAATGATGGGGGAAAAAAATGATCATCGAGCAGTGCGCCGGTTACTCACACAAAATCATCAAGATTTCCAGGCAGACTTTTGTGCGGGACCCAGATCGGGACTGCCTTGTCTTACTGACTGCGTTTCTTGGGATCGGGCTCGTGCTCTCGTGGAGGAAACGGGGCGGGGGTAAAAATAGTGTTTAGACACGATTGGGAAACCCTAACCCTAGGATATGACCCTACCATGGTGGGGCGGTAGATCGAAGGTACTAGAAACTGAATGTGAGTTTGGACTCGGTTCTTGTATAGGTGAGCCATGGAAAACATTTAGTGTGCAGCTGGGGTGGGTGCGTGGCGATCATGGGTCAGTAGCGGTCTGCTCAGAATCAAGCTCAAAACGCATTATAGGGTCACGATATTATCTAGCTATGCATGCACGGTCTCATTCTCCACGTATTGTAGGTCAGTGATATATTGCGTCCAAGCTCTAGAAGCCAACCGAAACTCCCTGGCTGGCTGCTGGCTCAGCAGGCAGAAAGATCAATTACATCTCTACTACGTGGGGATGGTCTCCAGGTCCACATGAACTACACTTCAGTCTCGATATCAAGTCTATATTAAGAAGTTGATCCGGCTAGCTGTATGTAAAAGCTTCAACTCATGAACACGTGTCAGCTGCCATTGAAAGGTGTAATTCCCGTCATTCTGCCTTTGGCCCGGTTCGGGAAGGTCCAAGGCTAGGCCTAGATTACTATTCTCTGCGGAGGACTCTGATAGAAGCGTTCTCAAGCTCGCGGTGTGCGTAGTTGGGCATGGGGTCTGGATCGTGGGCCTTATTATGCACTGCGTGGAGGTGCATCGACAGGATATATGGTATTGTAGGTACTATGGTGTACCGGCGAGACAGTAGATTTGGTACTACTGCATTCGTCGAGTTGGTTATTTTTGATGCAACATGGCTGCTTGCAGTACATGCACATCATAGCTAGGGGTACGGACATCCTTTCCCCTATCATGGCATATGGGCCTTATCAGCCAGTAGATCTAGAGCCTCAGCTCTCAATCTCAACCCGCGTCTTTCTCTTTCTTCCTTAGTCGCAATTAAAGAGGGGGTTATTGAAATTTAAAGTTTATATCCAATCCAAACCGTGGTAGCCAGTACGACGCTGGGGTCAGAAATAGAATCGGCATGCAACCACCGCAGTACTGCAGCCACTCCCGACGCGCGCCAAGCCTGCCGTCCAAATATAGAACATGATCCTCGTGCCAAGCTTGTCTGGGCACCGAGTGATCGACTGTGATTGGAGATCGATGGCCCAGGTTGTATGAAGAATGAGATTGAGATGTAACCCTGGTTGGGTTATGGTGCAAGGCTTCGGTGTTTGCTTGAGAGTCAGGGACTGTGTGTCGACGAAGATTGGATTTGACATATCATATGCGGTTGATCTTGGGAATAGGATCATGTTTATTTTAATGTCAGTGTGCGCGCGCACAGTACTGGATACCAATTCCCATCTCCAATTTATAATATCCCATAACTCAGCAGAGCTAGGAAATCTCGTAACTTCCTTCTAAAGCTTCCATCTATAAAGTTTAATCCTAATTAGAGGATCGAGGTTGACCACGTCGCCCACAATGAGTTGTTGCCAAGCCTAACCCCCAAAAATGTCAAAAGATCAAAAAACGTAGGGTTCCTACATACCCAGTAGCTCACTTAGGTTTCCTAAAGTTCCGTATTGCTTATCGATCCATCGGGGATGAAGGAAATTTCGGGTATTGGTGGATCGTTAGGTGAGTGACTTGATCCGAGGTTCTGTTCTTTTCGGTCGCGATGGAGACTGTAGAGATGTAAACAGGCGAGTATGGTTTATTAGAAGCCCAGGAGCCTTCAGGTTGTGACACCGTGGTCGAGTTCGATACTGTGATGTATGTGGCTCAACATGTGTCCGATAGCGCGCTTGGAATGAGGACATGTTGTTTCTAGCGTCATATGGTGCGTCGAAGAAAAACAATTAACGGCAAAAATACATATGTATTGTATTCATCTCCAATTTCTCTGTCTGGGACCCACAGAACGAGGTTCTCGATATAAATCATCCAGTATCTAGCTATTCCGCAGCTGTTGTGATCAGGGCTGTTCTGATTGGCTCTCAATTACGCTTAGCGAGAGTTATGTACAGTACGATGCCAGTCGTGAGCGTCAGGCGCGGCGTCTCAACGCGCACGCGCAACCAAATTTTCACAACCTTTTCACGGCGGGTTGGTACACAAGATATTAAATGTCAAATTATTTTTATTTCTCTACTATTCAATAACTATACAAAAATTCAGCTCTCCAAAGGATCAATTGTGGTTGCTGTGCTGGTACCCGTGATGGTTCGGGGGGCGCCTGACGCTCACGACTGGCATCGTACTGTACATAAATCCTTGGTGCCACGAGACGCCCTGCAGAGCCGCGTAACTGGGTTCAGCCGTGCACTTTGTCCATACCAATAGGAATTCAGCCAAATTGGGTACAAGTAGATGAACCCCTCTAATGTCAAATGGCATGCAAACATAAAAACCCGAGCACTCGATCAACCCTCTATCTCGCAAGAAGTTACAAGTCAAAGAATAAGTTCGATTCTCGAGTTTTACTTGCAAACTGGTGATTCGAGGCTCGGGTAGGAATTTATACTAGAACTCCAGTAAAGATAAAACCTGCAGTTTAGGTTTTTTTTTTTTATATCATACCACTAGTTCCCACACCTCTAGATCTCACGCCATCTGTCACTTTTCACAAGAAGCGCCTCAACGCTCACGACCAGGCACAGACAACTCTCGAGAATAAACGACTGAATATAATTTAGATACAAAACGGCGTCAAGCCAAACCCCCCCACCCACCACTCCTATTTTTTTTCGTCCCCACTAAACTTATATATATATACGAAGCTATTACAAATAACACCCACCGCTTAACCAGTCCAGAGAGTAGGGCCGGGGATGGTGTATGTACCAGTGCCCTGGTAGATATCAAAGACGATACCGGGGGAGGTGGCGGTGTAAGCACCAGGGAAGGCAACCTTGGTTCTATTCTCAATGTTAATATTTGAACTTGACTTTGAAATTGGGTAACTTTGCTCGAGCAGGAGGACTTACGAAGGACCAGTCGAAGAACCACCACCAGTAACGGTGATCTGGAAGCACGAAGGATAGAATTGGATTCCGGGGTACGCATATGCTACTCTCATTAGTCTATGTTCATACGGCCAATCCTCGAATTCCAAGAAAACCTACCAGAGTGCAGCGCAATCAACTCATGCCTGACAATGTACTCTCCAGCCGCCAGACTCGACGGCACCGTGAACGTGTACGCCTGCCCAGTAATGAACGGATCACTCGCCCACGTTCCATCCGCCAACTTGCCCGCCTCCGCAACCTTAAACCACACCGCGGCGGTGCCCGGCGAGTAGCTGCTGCACGCGCCTGGGCACTTGGCCAGATAAGTGATGACCGGTCCGTGGTGGCTGTCCGGCCAGGTGGTCCAGTGGAGCGAGATGGATGATCCAGCGGCGACGGTGGCCGAGAGGGGGGCGGGCGCAGACCCGCTGCCTAGGTAACCGTTGCACTGGAGGTCGACGGAGGTGAGGTCCTCGACGGGGCCGTTACCGGGGATCTTTCGCACTATGCGCTCCGGGGGAGTGGCGTAGTAGGGGTCGCTGTAGGGGAGGTAGCCGGTGTAGGTGGTGCCGCCGATGGTGAGGTCGGAGACGTAGCCGTGAGCAAGGGTGCCGGAGGCGTTGAGGAGGGCGGCAGCCGCCGCGGCGAGAGAGAAGGTGTATTTCATCGTTGGGGAGTGAAGGAGTGGAGGATGATGAGGATGGGGAAGTCGAGTTGGGGAGAGATGAAGGCCGTTATATAGATGTTCCCCCCTCCCCTTCTAATTCTCCTTTCATCTTCGTATAGAGAGAGGTCTCTAGGGAGAAAAGGAGTTTGATAGTGGCGTGCTGGGATTAGGGAAGCTGGTGCTGCAGTTCCGATGGTGATATTGGGTTTTTTCTTGGCTCAGGTACCTGACAATATAATATCACCATGTTCATGTTCGTCTGGGTCCGTGGGGTAGTAGGCACTCCGGGCCCGAATGCCTGCGGATATTTTGTGCGGCGCTGTACTGGAAAAAATATATTGAAAGGCCAAGAAAGAAAGCAGGCGCGAGAAATGATAGTGTTAGCGGTTTTGAGGAGATCAGCACTAGCATTGGCATGGCGCTGACTAGGTACATGTATGTAGGTAGCTTAATGTTGACTGTGATTTAACGTTATAACTCTAAAACGTCGGTTGTTAAAACAGACACGCCTGGTAAAGACTCTAATTATCTAGTGGTAGTCAATAATTGCACTATCTGTGAATAATAGGGCAGGTGCAGGCTACTCCCTCGTACGTTCTGCTCGAGCCTTCAAAACGGTTGTCGCAGCTAGAGAGAGTCCAAGAATTCAGACATTCGATCATTCCCAGCAACCAACCCCTGCCTGTACAGCTGTGCCTGTCAACCTGACACACCAAACCACAACAAGCAACACCTAGATCCCCCCCCCCCCCCCACCTTCTATAACCGTAGTTCTACTATTGGTGGTCGGCCCCCCCCCCCCCCCCCGCAGAACAGTACGGCCCAGCCCTAAATTACAGGCACACATCCCCTCCCCTATTAACTACATGTATCCCCCATTCTCACCCCCATATTAACATGCCACCACCCTCACCACCGACACCGCTGCTGCACATAGAGTACATATATCGTGCAATCCCCCCCCCCCCCCCACTGACCCTCCGCGTCCTACTCTCGGAGGAACAGGAGGGGACTCCCCAGTAAGCTGCCTTTCGTGGATTCACCCGTCCGGCTAATCGGGCGCGCGGTGCCTAAACAATGCGAACCAGACACTGCGCCAAGAAAAATAACCCGCCGGTAACTGCAGCGCGTCGTTCCGGGAAACATCTTGTCGTGGAAAGCCGCCCCGGACTTTCCAGCAACCTGTCTTCTAAATACACCGAGATGGCCCCGGCTGGGAGAGGAAGGCCAAGGAGTTGTGCAATCTCACAGCAGAGAGGTGTGTCCTAGTATCTTCCCTCTACTATGCACGTACGTGCGTATATTGGCAGCGCCTGGGTTCTGGGTGCACCGCTTTGTCAACGTCTTATGAAGAAAGACAAAAACGCAATCCGTCAGCAATATAGCAATATAGAATACCATACACACACGTGATGCCTCCCCCGGAATTGCAGCCGAAGTGGGGGAGTATTTTGACAGATCTTATTGAATCAAACCAGGTTGTTCTGCTCCGGCCGGTTACAGCATGCGGACCGTAGTACATACTTACTACACCTCCGCCAGCGAGTCCGAGTGTGCGCGTGAGGGCCGTCATAGCTATAGGGAGAGTTGACTATAGCCTTTGTTTTTTCCCCTTAATTCTCGTGATCAATAATAGTATGTGTATACAGGAATCGAAATGTTTCGAGTGTGTCGAGAGAGACGCCAAGACCATCTCGCTTGTATCCACTTTTCTATTGTTTATTATTTAGTAACCGCTCACCACTCATCACTCGCGCGCCCGCCCGCACGTGATGACAGCTAGCTACCAACAAACCAATCTAGGTCTATGGTTGCGCACCTTCCCGATCCTCGGTGCGCACGAGTCGAGTGATATGATGCCCCCCTTCCCGCATCCATAACGGGATATATAGCATTACTTGAGCTATTGCTTGCGATTGGCCAATGGGGGCAGCTGACCTAGTTACGCGTTAGAAACTCTGAAAGCTCATATGACCTAGACAGGATTATAGAAGCACTGGTTTTCTCCAGATCGTGGGCATGTGCTACTTTAATTGCACCAAGATAAGCTTGCGAGTTCAGGTTGAGATGTCCGCGGCCGCTATGATTTGATAATTGTTGTTATCGATATAGCTTACGGTGATGATCTTTGACGCCAATGGCATTATTATAAGTCTTGGGAATATAGGTTGACTCAATCGCTTTATCTAAAATGGGGATAGAAAGTACTACTACATGTGGTAAGCAAATATAGATAACAAGAATCCATCAGCCTTCCGATTCAAATCCCATTACTCGCGCAAACTCAAGAGTATGCCCGGCAGACATGTACAATCAATAAATCCGACAGCCCAATCCCCCGGTTCGAATAACCCATCCGCAAGATCTCGATCGATCATCCGGAAGGTTGCAAGGTAATTCCTCATCTAGAAAACTCTTCCCCGGGATCCCTCTGCTGATTCGTGAGATCGGCATATGACTGTAGTCGGAAGTGCCTCGTGACTAGCCCGCCATAACTTTTTACCTTGAGTACGGATAAGCCAATTGTAAGGTATCTCGCCGCCTGTATGTCAATCTCCCTGTTTCCGGGTACCCTCAATTGGTTGTGTAATCAGTAGGTGTAGAGTACATGCCCGTCGGTGATGGTTGCGGAGTGAGAGGGAGAGGGGGAGAGACAACAAACTGACAGATGCAAGGAGATGGAAAGCCAGATTCATTTTTGTTTATTTACTCCGCGTGGTGCTTTGGCTATCGGCGTCGATGATTCCATTACTCTTCAGAGAAGTATCTCCAAGCAGCGAGCTGTAAGTAGAAAAAGGTCACAATATGTACCAGATAGGACGGGAAACTAATCATACGTCAGTCCAGTGCGGCATTGTGAGAACAAATCGAGATGGCTTTCTTTACAAGTACCTTACGGGCATCGTCAAAGGCTACATCGACAGCTTTTTGTTGTGGCTTCACCTGCGTCGAATTGGATTTCGCCCCCAAAAGACGAGCCCACTTCCCATAGAAAAGCGGCGAACAACAATGCAGGCGAAAAATTTAAATCGTAACAGACGACGGCTTTCCCCCACACAAAGCACAGTTTTATTTGTCCTTTCATGATCCTTTCATTTTCGGCTAGTTCATCAGCAATCATGTCGCCATCTGAGCCTCCCTCCAAGCGCATTCTGCTTGTATGGAGGGACGATCCCGGTCTGACCGTCCCTACTGTCGTCCCTACTGTCGCCGCCCTGAAGTTTACTCCGACTTCCACCCCTACTGTTGTCCCTACCGTCGCCGAACTGCTTCATAAGCTCGAGGCTGTTCCGTACATCAAGACCAACCTAGACAGCGCCGAGAGTCCTTTTACGGCTGTCCCCGCTGTCTCTAAACCTCCCAATTTCTTCAAGTCTGTTCCGTATATCAAAGTTGAGGACGATGATGAGGATCTCAGTACGACTGTTGCTAAACCGCCCAATAGCCCCAAGATTGTTCCGTACAAGAAGATTGAAGGTGCCGGGAGTCCCAGGACAGCTGTCCCAACTATCGCTGCGCTGCCCATTAGTCCCGAGGCTGTTCCGTACACATTCACGACTGGGAACGACGCCGAGAATCAAGGTAAGGCTTGACGGTTGAAGCGTTCTGTCGATGGGCCGCTTGTTAATGGATCTATCCTATATATACTATCACTTTTGCTAACTCTTGCCCACGGCCTCCACCGCAGACAGCAGAACTAGCATATGGTCCATGTATGGAGAGTACTTCGACGTCCCCAACGACCCAAGGGAGATGTTTCTGTTCTTCAGAGGTCTGTTCGACGACGTTTACAAGACAGCGGCGGCCGGAGCTTTTTTAAGCATCCGCCAGCTCGCTCTCCTCCATGGCGCCCCGTCCATCCTTGGCCCACCCAACAAGCGTAAGGCGTCTACTATCGTACAGCAGGAGAGCCGTGTGCAACCGCCTATCGAAGACTCTCCTCTTCGGCTTGCTGGCCGGCCATCTCTTCGTCGACCTGCTGAACCGTGGCCTGCCCCACAATTTCCTAGACCGTTGTTTTATCGTCAACCTGCCGAGCTGTCTTCTGCCAATCAAGCTGCTGGACCGTCATCTGCTCATCAACCCGATGGACCGCCGCCATCTCCTACTCAACCTGGACCGCTGTCTGTGCCCGCCTCCCCCAACGAAGGTTGCCGTGGCGCCAAGAGAACACGCCCAGCCCCACCACCCATCCGGCGTTTGGATCGATACCAGGTCATACCACCAACCCGAGACCTCGGGGACTTCGCTAGCGTTGAGGACGCTTGTCGTGAGCTTTGGATATGTGCCAAGGTTATCAAGGGGAAATATTTGGAGGGCTTAATTACCTTTGATGGTCGGCATAGTTATACTAAGGTATCAACGCCGGGGTGTGAGGCTTGTGAAAAGTACAATAGGCCGTGCAATCTGTTAGTTGGAGGAATGGATAGGCACGTAAAGGTTAGTGGCTGCGGTGCTTGCACTCAGCGTGGAGTGGTTTGCTCCCTCCAGGAACAGATAAGAGCTGGCCACCCCAGGTTTGAATAAAATTGCCTTGTGCATGAAACTTCGCCCGGCGTTATCTCATTTCTAACCTATAACCCCTTCGTCTGAATTTAGCACGTATTGCGACCTCCTGTAATATTCTCTACGTGCGCAGTTAACGCAGTGATCGCTCGCCTGACCCCCGCTATTAATCAGCCTTTAACCGATAGTCCAGCCGTGGGAGACCACCTAAAGGCAAAGGCCTTGATTTGGTCATCCAGTGGCCCCCGAACCGCAACCCAAATCTCGCAATGCTCGCCCACATGAAGGACTGCATACATAGACAGGTATCAGATCTGTGCGAATGGAGATCTTTGTGAGTTAAAGTTATTTTGACATTATCATTATTGGCCCATGGAGTAAGACGCCGACCAACTCAAAGGGAATAACTTATTGCCTCTTCCTATATTCCTTTTCATTGCCGCCCTTGGTTGACTTGCGGGGTAAAGGATTGTGCCTTTTGAATCACAACACGTTAACCATAGAAGATTTATCTAGCTAGAGAATACTTGTTCGTTTATCGCAACTATCAGTATAAAATCTCGGGTACAGTCTATTATGGGCGATGCCTCTGGTATTATTTAGGTTCCAGTTCGTTTTGTTTCTCCTTAAGCTTCGGTCTAAGTCTCTCAATACCACTTCCATCTATATATATCATAATATAAAATATGCGGAATTGCTTAAAAACACACATTGTTCTCACCCAACCTGTAATTCCCAGGTTGGTGCTCCAATCAATAGGTATTCGGCCATCGCCGAACCAATTTATCGAGGTGCATCTGCAGTGGAGCACAACCAGAGTCATTTCAGGTCACATCCTTAGCGCTCTATCGATTGTCCTCTTTTGGTTCACTATTTGTGAAAGGACACTCAGACCTTTTTTGTGGGTCAAAACTGAAGTTGTTTCAGGGCCTATCGGAATAAGAAATCCTACTGCCTCTTCGGCGTCCCCAATGTGATGCACCTAAAGGCTTCACTGACCCCGTGAGTTTTATGTAAAATCGCATGCTGAGATTTGACATAGCCTAAATAGACTATGAATGGACCTAGGGACCTGTGACATTCCAAACGCACTATGTCTGATTGATACATCACCTGGCGGCCCTGAGATAGGTGAGCAGTGTTGGGGTGCACTGCATGTGGTACCATTTCAATTGGCGGCGCCGGATCCGGAGGATATCTCCGGATAGGTCCAGGGTGGACCATATTCAGGCGTTGACCTGAGAGCGGTTCTTATGAGGTTTTATAAGAGTTATACTCTATCCGTGCTCCTATCTTCCAATAGGCAAGGATTGGATCGAGTGATATGATATGATCCATGCTGGTATGGTCAGTAGCGAGAATATTGGGTCTGGTGACGAGGAGGCATTCTTCAGACCTTAAGGCGTGCCTTGTACTTCTTCGCATCTACTCACTAGGCTAATAGGGTACGGCGTCCTTCTCTTGACTGGACCTGGGAGTTTCGTACTTCGTGGTTAGTATTAATTGTGGTAATCCCTGATGTTTCGGCGATAATATTATTATTGGGTATGTGGTGTAGGTAGAGGACCTGCATATGTGATATACAGACTTCCTCAAGGCGTACATACCTACCTCTAGACAGTGCGAGATACAATCCCCTCCCACCATCCTGTCAACACCTTCTCGTCTTAAGATCACAAGACCTTCTTAATCTGGTATTCATTCTTGCAAGACCCAATGTGACTTGGAATTGAAGTTACGGGATTGGGGTCTGTCCGTATCAGCCAACGCAGGTTGGAACGAAATTTTCTAGCATAACCTAAGTTGACCAGTGCAGTGGACTTACTCTAAGGTCTAAAATCCACAATCAATGGTAGATTTATTACCGATAAATCCTCAAACGAGATAGATCACACGCTGGATGATCTACACCAACATATTTTTATGATTGTTGGCTGCTGCGGGGTCGTAACGATTCGTAGCAGTGGCTGACTGGTCCAATCGAGAATCCACACAACCAAATAAGCGACTTTGTGACTGGTCAAACTAGAACAGATCGGTACGAGATATTTGCCTTGGAATGACTTTTAATTCTCTCGTAAGAAGTATGCGAGTACTAGTACTAATGGTGGTTTGGAAAGTCCTAGTCGTTGGGTCTCGTGGGTTGGGCTTGTGGACGAGTAAGGAAGTTCCTTCCATTGGAAGTAGAACTCATCACTCTGATCTGCGCGCCGTGCTGAGGCAGGTAGCTAGGTTTTGTAGATTATATATGTAGCTCTGTAACGTGTTCATATTTGAACCGTCATTCATTTCCTAGCGGAAGACAACTGCGAAGCTTTTCCATCCACCATGTCCTTGTCATTACCTTCATCTCTTCATCTCCATCATCACTACTATCGTCCTCCTCATCACCACTATTATGGGAGGGGTTGCCATCAGCATCAACATCAGCCTCGTGGCTATCATTTTGGATGGTACTCATGTTGATCCTTTGTCGGGGGAGGTCTTGGGCTCGGCCTGGAGCTCGAGTGAGCGACTATGAACCGGGGCGATTCGAATCCACTTCCAGTTACCGAACGCTGGGAGTACAGATTGTGCATAAGGCTAGAGAGACGAGATAATCACTAACCTATAAGGCTCTCAGATAACTTAGGTAGAGGAACCAGCGGAAAATCCCCTCCCACCTCCACTCTCTAGCTACCCCTCACATCCGAGGCAAATAATACTCGCCGCTCACTAGGCTGCATGCAGACTTCTGCTGCTGGCGAGGGCCTCAGAAAATCTCGAAACCGAATCGATTTGAAAATCTTGAAAGAGAAAAAGGCTCTGGACAATTTCAGGAGGCGCTCTAGCCGCCGATGGCGCCAAGCACAGCGCGGCTGGGAGCCAAATCGAGACGGGCCCAGCTGGTAGCTAAACACGCTGCCGATACTTGCATATCACTGTGCAACTGGCTTCTAACAATAACTCTCAGCACATAACGGGCCCCCGTGTCTTGAGTTGCCTCCCCCACTGGCTCTACTTCCGCCTGCATAGTCACCGAATCTTCCTTCCTTGGGAACCCCAGCATCTACGCTTCCTAGAATTAAGATAGTGGGGACAAGTTGATGTTTAGTTCGTATGATGACTATGTCATAAAGAACCGTGGTTTAGAAGTCTACCGGACTAGTAAGGCAAGGTCTTCCAGATACCTCCGCTAATTAGGTGTATGTACCTTGATTGTTTGAGGAAATGGAGAAAGAGATAAATATATTTATCCTTGTCACGTAAGCGATATCCTCGCTTAATAGACAACTAGAGGATAGGATAACGTTGCTTGGCATATATCTCTACCTGACCTAGGTAGTTAAAAGGTATACAAGTCCCTTGATATCCTGGGTGAATTTGCCGAGCGAGATTGCATTAATTGTAGTATGGTAGTATAGTGTGAATTGAACTTCAAGCTATTAAAGCCAGAAGTGGGGATCGTCTTATGTGTAATTCCCTTATTGGCCACATCTCGAGAGCCTCGAGGGTAGTGTTCGATATATTATGGTAAACAAAGCATATTAAAAACTCCGTTTTAATATGTATATCAACTACGGGGATGAAAAATTATACGTTCCCCTTTTTACCCTCACGCTATGGCTTCCGAAAATAATTCTATACATCAGAAGATAATCTCAGTCGTTGGTAAGAATAGGCTTGGCTGGTTGACCTCTCTGGCGAGGGATAATTATGAGCTGATAGTTCGAGGCAGATTGGTATATCGGTCATAGTACTCTCACTCTTAATATTTTCGCCATGACAGCCAGATTCGTAACTGGGTACACTAGCTTCTGCTAGATCTAACAGAGCTTCCAGGACTTTGTGAATCCTTAGTTAGGATGATATGTCGTCCAAATGCTGTTATTGCCGGGAGGTTTTTGAAGCTCTCAAATTTGTAATGTGCTGCAGAAAACGCTAGGTATTGTATATAACAGTTTGTTCATGGTATCACATACCTATAACGCCCCCAGAGAAATCTGAAGACGCATTTAGGCGGGTCAGCGAGTCTTGTCTATTGACACACACAGCAAAAGATCGGGGGTTCAACAGCAACAGGTACAGTCTACATTCATAGAATTTTAGGTGTCTGCTGAATATCTGTATATCAGAATACAGTATATTACCCTTGATGTTAGAGGTGATAGACTTACAACTCAAGTTACTCAGCAAACCTCATTATCATGCATATCCTTCATAATTAATGAAGTATATTTGAAGGTTCGCCGCCTCATCCACTAGACTTATGCCGCTCTGTCCTGGTAGGATATCAACCTAGGTATACCTCTGGCTTTTGGGCTATCAACCAGCAAAGACACCCCCTGGGCCTGAGCGGCCTCCTTACCGCTCCTATTGTATGGCGAACTCGGGCTTCTATCCGAAATATTTCAAAACGATGGTGTGTGCGGACATGATATCGTACCCTTACCATCCACATTTTCAACTTGCGTTTACCCGTAATTAAGGCAGGAACCGTTGTGAGACTGTAAAAATCAAAAGAGTTTAACGCGACAGAAAAGTAAAGAGTTGGCTAAAAATTATAAAACTAATTGGGATACTCAACTGGTGGCGTTTAATCACAGCAATGACAAGACGTCAATGATAGTTTTTCAACTATAATTCTTAACCTTGTGGCCAAAGCTGAGCTAATCTAAAAGAGTATTATCAGCGGAGAAGGGCATAAAAAGCATATTTCATCGGACCTCAACGTTTCTGCCTTACAACTAAGATTAGTTAGCAGCCTACCAATCATGAGAGCGTCGAATCACAGCCATCATGTGTAAAAGCGGAGTAGCCCGGCCCGAAAAAGTCCGATATCTCGGTCAGAATTCCGCACATACATGTGAAAGCCGGATCGGAGTTCGAACCAGCTCTGGGGCTACCACCGGGTATGGTGCGATATGAGAACTGCCAGCAATGTCATCACCTCTCATCTATCAGGACTGCCTTGTATGCGAAAAACTGATGCCTGGTCTGAGCTATTTGAAAGTTAAGGATGTGATAGATGAGCTTTGGATGATTGAGTACGAGGCAATATTGGATGCCTTCTCTGAACGTTCAGCGAATGATGCACATATATATCAGCTACGCACATGAGTTATTTATATAGCCTACCACGATCGCCAAGGGTGTCTAGCTAGTAGGCGCAATTAACTCCTGTGCTCCTATGGTGGATGTTCTTCGATCTTCGTACACGCGCCGTTAGATCAGGTAGGTATATTTGGGAACCTCATCCCTTGCATCGAGTAGAAGCTCGGGTCACAAACAGAATAGTCTCTCCGCCCCTAGAACACTACCGGCCTTAGCGGGATAGAAAAAACTAAGAACGCGTATGGAAATATCGTGGTAACTAGCCTCTTCACCTCTTGGACCGGTTTTCGACATCAAATATCAACCAATCAAGATTATTTCTGGTAAGCGGGGTATGCCGGTGGTGTCAATATCAGAATACTTCTTGGCATCTTAACGAGATTCATGGACATTACCACATATAAGGAACCACCTATATGAACGCAA